GAACAAGCAGTAGATTGTACAACTTTCTGTTTGGCTACCAAGCTTTTTTGAAGGACAAGTCAGACGTAGATGTTGATCGAAAATTAGGAAGACAAAAAATATAAACAGATTAAAGAATTGGAATACTGGTATGGCAATCAGAGCTGTGGCAACCGGTTGCAGCTGCAGAACGTTAATACTAAGGGGTAAGCATTTTAGATATGCCGAGCAGCAAAATGCCTTTAGTGCGATATTTACCAGCAACTCTAACCTAGTGCGTGAAAATGTAAGGTAGAAAGAAAGAAGTTTGTCAAAAAAGAAATCGAAAAATACGAGAAAATATCACAAGCTAAAGAGATTTGACCAATATCAATATGTCGATTTTGACAGAAACTTTGGAGAAGACAGACGTCTGTGTTCTGTTGATCCCTCATAGCTGGATGCAAAATTATTCATATGAAGATTTGAAGATCGATATGAAGTTGAAACATCTCTATCTGGAATAACAGCATCTGATAAAATTGGAATTAAGCATTTTGACTAAAATTTAAATTGTTGTCAAACCAGTGATTCTTTTCCACGATTCCAAATATTTCAGTATGTACAACCATTGGTGAAATAAATTATGATGTCTGCCTAGGAAGGAATTATTACGAAAGATAAGAGTAATTATTAGGTACAGATTTTGCAACCATTCATAATAATATAGAGTGTTATGCATATTATTATGAATGGCTGCAAAATCTGTGAAGCAACTGCATAAAAATGCCTGACTTGCTTAGGGATAGGAAGTGAATTTTGAAGGAGTTCCGTAGAAAATTGAGACAAGTCACCTAACCAAGTAAAGAGGCTGAAAGTTCACTCCACCAAAAATAAAATCCTCATAAAATTCTTCCTCATTAAAAGAGCTCTATATAGATTGCAAGGCGAAACAGGTTTCTTCAGCAGTTTCTTACACCATTCAAGGACTGAATAAAAGTTGTATGCTACAATGAATGTGGATCACAACTGATGTGAACAATGGGATCATGCAGGAACGTAAGCAGATACTGCCTGAAGTAAAATTAACTTCAGAGAAATATATTAGGGAGAATAATAAAATAAAAATTTAAGCATTGCATTTTAGATTAACTTCATATTAGTGTATTCCGATGACCATTACCTATTCAAGAAGTAACAAAACCAGAATAGTAGTTATCAGACATGGAATTATTCATAATTTTACGTATTTGTCGCTCTAACGATAAGCCGGCAGTGAACAGTTTGAAATCTATAAAGTTTTTGCATACATAATATCAGAAATTAAATCGAAGATTAATAAAGAAGCATGACACTGCATGATTTCTGTTTCAGATTCCATTTGTTTTAAAAAATTAAACTATATTTATTCAAAACAAGTCGCATTTCAGATGGCAAAAGATTGCAAGTAGCTCGCGAGCTGCAGTTAAGGTGTCGGAAGCTGCAGTTTGGCCATGTCTGCTATATACAGTTACAGTCTCCGAGATTCAAACTCAGGCCCAATGATATGGCAGCCAGCATCATTAACTACTAAACTGATTAGAGTGATTGAATTTAGGTCAACAGCCTTCATTACAAGCCTGGATGAACATGACCAAAATCTAACGGCAGAATATCTCATGGAATTGGCATAAAACACCAACTCAACATTGTAGTTTAATACCGAGCACTCTGAAAACATTAGTGTCAGATTTGCAGAACATTACTTTCACTACATACATTTTAAATGCAGATACCTAGTCAGACTACCCTAAAGAATGCACAACACAAAACTTCACATCAGCTTGACAATTTAGATAGTGGACACTTTATAACCAAAAATTAGCAACATGATTTGACCGGTCACATTTCAAACTGTTCCAGATACTTGGAAGGTTCTGCATATGCAGGGAACCCCATGAAGTCATATATTCCACATGTCAACAAGTTATTGTGCAAGGGTAACATCTCCATAGTGGAATGGAATTTATGTAAATGATATTCAGTAGGATTCTTGTTATATTTATAAACATATCTGATACGTGAACACTACACATACATCCTTTCCAACACATAACATCCATTCATGTTGTATATTCCTACTGATGAGTTTGACCTATTTATAACAATGTGCTCTCATACATGGTTCAAGATGTGAAATTATAAGAATATGCAGCTAATTTTGGAATCTTGCAATAGGTGCTTAAATCTCCAGACCTCATTGCTATCAAAAACATTGACACCATGGAATAATCTATGGGGCTCAAGTGCAGAATCTCTGATTTTTTTTCAAGTGAAAATAGGTCGATGTGTACATGGATACCAAGTTTGTGCAATTCTTTGACTTGTTATTTTCCAGCTGGCAATTTTGTGAAATACACAAAGCAGTAAGTGATTCTGCCCTTTCCCCAACTATGGAATGAAGAAACCTTACATCCCTTAGGTAAAAATATATTTACAGGTGCCCTAGGGCGAAAAATGGTGATTTTTGGCAGTACACTGATATCGAGTTTGTACAATTCTTTGACTTGTTATTTTGGCTTGTGTAGCCGCAATTTTTTAACCAAAAATCTGTGCTACACAAAGACAAAGAATTGCACAAACTCGGTATCCATATACACATCGACATATTTTCACTTAAAAAAACATCAGAGACTTGCACAAACATGGCATTGCGCACTCCCTTGACTTTATCCATGTACACATCCATCTGTTTTCACTTACAAAAAATCAGAAAATTGCACAAACTAGGCATTGTACGTTCCTTTGACTTTGTCCATGTACACATCAAACTATATTTACTTAAAAAGTCAAAGGAGCAGCCAACAAAAAATATATAATTGCAATAAAACTACATTTTAAATCAAGCAATGAAATAACATAAAAAAGGAAATTAATCTTTGCACTGCACAAAGGAAATATCCACTTATTTAAGAAATTAACGCGTCTTCAATCAAACAAAATTCCTTAAAAGCATCCAAAAACTTCCTAAAATTATCTGAACTAGAATCTGTATACAATCGTCACATCAAATTCACAAAATAAGAGTAAAAAATATTGTTCGACATTCAACCATACGCATTTCCTTCCTACAAACAAGATACTTAATAATGGCTACTAAGTAAACCATCATTTATGAACCAGTCAATTAATGCTCTTTTCCCCTTTCTTTCCAAATCATACAGAAAACTTCAAATTAATCTTACCACATTCAGCAATTTTACCATTTAAACCACAAAACAAGCAATATACTTCCTAACCAACACACACCACAAGCCTTTACAAATCTTTTCCAATAATTCAAAATTTACAGCAATCATGCAACCGATTATGTCATAATAGAGTTTCCATAACATTCAACTATTCAGGTTACCATAAATGAAACAACAACTTTGCAATAATACAAGGGACACCCTTCAATCTACTCTAACCCATCTCTCTCTTAGACCATCCTACCAAACATTTAATATTCATACTGGAGACTACTCCCCGATATTCACCGAGTCCATGCTGCTGCAGTTTTACACTCCCTTGTGGGATCTATTAAATACTAGACAAGTTTAGTAGTTTTTATTTTTCGGGGCACTTCAGTGTAAATATGCATACAAGTAAACAATTAAATAATTTCACTTCAAAATTATATAAATAATATTCAAAGCAACTTTTAAATTTTTTGCTGCTTTGGTTTTAAAGTACATATCCGGATGTTTCTTAACTATTTATACCAATTTTAGTTACGAACTGCAGCTCACATGATTTACCTTGTTTATTAAATATCTTTCATTGTAAATAAAAATGAATTGTTTTTCGAATCAAAACAGAGCACGATCATATACTCTATTTTAAACAGAAATGTACCATTTTATTGTGTGCGGATCTAGTGTAGAATTGGATGCCCCTTCGATTAGCGACATTTTTTTTAAATTTTGGCAATGAAACCTCACTTCTGATTACCATGATAGTTTTAACTTTGTTTTAGCTTCCTGATTTTATTTAAATGAAAACAGCTTGATGTGTACATGGACAAATTTAAGGCAGTGTGCAATGCCTAGTTTGTGCAATTCTAGGATGTTTTTTTAAGTGAAAGCAGATTGATGTATACATGGACACAGAGTTTGTACAATTCTTTGACTTCTTATTTTGGTTTTGTGTAGCAGCCATCTAGAAATGGTGCCTTCCTGGTGTTGATCTTGGCGTCAACAAAGAATCGCCAAAAAACAAGGGGCACCAAATATTAAATTTTTGTGCTATCATTTTCATAAAAAATAACAAATTAACATAAAGGATCATCCTTTTTTAAATTACTTTAAATAAATCACAGACCACAAGTAATTCTGTGTCAAAAGTAATAATAATTAAGCTTTTATACTTTTTCAAACTTTAGTAATGAATGAAAAACAATTGAATTCTGCAGCAATTGTGAAGATATTAAAATTTTAATCATTTCAAAAGAAACTACATATTATTGAAAATACAAACTACAATACTGGCTCTTTTAGATACACTATCACTTAACGTTTATTTTAATATATTTAACCTCATTTCCAATACTTTATTAAAATCAAATTTTCAAATCATACTCCTTCAGAAATTTTCTGTTTTTCCCCTTTTAAAATTTTTTCAAGACTTAATATAAAACACTTGCAAAAATTATTAAGCCTTCCAGTTTATTATTAACATATGTTTAACACAAAAATGCACAAAGGTAAACATGAACAAATTCAATAAATGGACAACCACCAAACACTTACATGTTGTATACAAACTATCTTCAACATTTCATGAAGTTTTTACTCCATACATTTATGTCAGTATTATGATAATTAATTATTCTTTATATTTAACAGAAAAGTACTGCGATCACTACAGGCGACTTAACTATGAAGTCTACCTTAACATAAAGTATTCATTATGACACTGAAAACATTTGCAAACTTATACTTACTAAAATCTCATATTTTAATTATAAGGATAATAACGTATCGCGGCATAAAATAAGAATGCATATCATTAGACTTACGTACACTGAACACTGTACTGATGAACAGATTTCGAGATTTCTAACAAATATCTTTGTAAGACATCAACAAGAATATCCATTGGTGAAGCTTGAACAGCATGCCAACCTATGTTTTGACAGATTTGTGCTACACATATTTTTAATGCTTCTTTAACATAACTTGCCATTGTTTACATATTTATAATTGTGAGAAAAATTTCACATCCGCTACATTTTAACACTGAAATAAACTAGCCTCAGGAGCCGCACAAATTAATAACCTGCGTTACCCTCAATCAACTAGACTACGGTTAAAGACAGTTTCACTTATTCACCTGTAATCTAGATACCAGAGGGCGTGTCCATCAATAGCGATGTAAGTCAGCGAATTTCAAATAGTTGCTACTTAGTTTTAGCATTCAGGTGTTTTCTTTTTCGCAACGAATCGTAATTTACGTAAGACAAAACGGAACGAGGAAATATGAGGTTGCAAGTTGAATTCCTTAAGTTTGGAGTCGATTAATGAAAGCATTAAGACCATAATCTGGTGCGATTTATCTCTTTCACTCAATTACCTAGAGTTTCAGATAATTTCATTCTAGTATGGGATGTCGTCATCTCAGACAGCTGATACTTAATATCGACAATTATCTATATTTTCTGAAATACTGATTATTCGGTCGACTATTAGAGGTAGACAGTTATTATTGATTATTTGGTGTATTAGTAAAGATCAACTAGTTCTTCTACGGATCTTGGGTCTAGGAGTGGTCCACTAATAGAGGTTCATGGAACCAGAACGCAGGAGGTGTAAATATTGTGTATGATACCAGAGAATATTTTGTAAACTCTGACAAAAGAACACGGTTAGATGAACTTAGAGTTCCTTGTAAATAATCTCATTCCAAAATTTACACAACTTTAACAGATATTTGATTAACATGACAGTTTCAGCGTCAACAAAGTTAGTGATTGACATTTCAGATGCTTACGATGCACTTATCTCATAAAGCTCTTCACAGTTTCAACACTTCGATTCTTCACTTAGCGACACTAAATGTTTATAGTTTCCCTGCTTGGAAGATTGAATTCACTATTTGGAAAACAAACACTTCAAAATAAATTTCAAATTAGACAAAAAAAAAGCAACCTTAGTTTGATATAGATTTTGAACAGAACTCCCCGTGGTCGATAGAGTCAACACCGACTCTACGGTACAGTCGGTGTTGACTCTGTCGACTTCGGGAGAAATTAGACACAGATCAAATTGTTTCAGAAGCAAAAGACCAGCGTCTGATCGTCCCAGAAAATCTATGGTTACTGATTTGCCATAAGTCAAAGGTTACTTCTTTGCTAAATTTTAAAACTCATCAAGTATGAATAACATGCCTTTTTTTTAAATTATTTCTTCCTCTTCATGGATTGTTTTATCAATTTGACTATATATTTTACAGGCGACAAAGAGGAAGAGACCTTGTACACTTTAATCGAGAATTCCTAAGCCTACAAATAAAATGAATTATCAGTTAGTGGCTTGTAGGTAATGTAGGTGGATTATACATACGGTCTTTGAATACGATCTTTGAATCTTTTTAGCTCAAAGGGGCAATTTGCCCAGAAAGGCAATAAATATTCTTTTTGGCATTTTGGGTTGTTTCACGGAGTGTTACTTTTTAAATTGTTGCCACCAAATATTAGAGCCCTGTATTATATTTAAAGAAATTAAATAATGAATAATCTATATTAAATGTATGTATGTTACGTCTCCACCCGAATATGGGCGTCTGGAAGCCCAAATTTTGAATTTTTTTTATTATCTATTTCATATTTTGTAAAGCATTTATGAGTTTTTGATTCACGATTTGAAAGCCAGCAATGGCAACACTGTCCGAAAAAAAATTTGGATATTTTTTTTCGGACAGTGCCAAATTGAGAACTGCCTTGATTGCGCCGAATTGGCTTCTTTAACGGTATGAGCGACATTTCATTAATGCCAACGGAAGTAAATATCATGTGAGTAATTGGAGCTAGGGAGAAAAGGAAAATATATGAGGAAAAGCGGGATTAAGATGTGTTTGTGTCTGTTTGGTAACTGATTGCTAATTTGGTTCTGTTATATTGCTAAATTAGCATTAAATGTCGAGTAATGTGTGTTTATGACAATTTTTTCTGCTTTGAAAACCCAAGTGTTGAAACATTATGCGTATGCTTGTGAAAATATTGTTTCAGATATTCTCATATAACTAACTATACTATAATTTCGTATTATTCAGTTCTCATATAACCACGATAGAAATACTATGCTTACAAACGTAGTATGTACGTAGTATTTATTATGTACGTAGTTACAAACGTAGTATTATTTACTTACAAACGTAGTATTTGATAGCCTGGCACATAGTAGACTTTCTAGAATTAGTTTTGTAATGTTATATAATGTTCATTAAATTGTCTTTTGCATTATTTTGCCTAACTATTCATTTTCATAAAGAATATATAATCAATGTAGAGAATGTGAGTTCAATATATTTTAAAGATAGAGATAATGAACAAAAGATAAAAGGGAGACTACGCATGCAACCAGATAAAAGTGACCATATTTCTAAAGAAAGTTAATAAACTCAAAAATATGCTCTTTTAAATTTTTTGTGATATTCCTGTTGAATTGAATTTTATGGTTTAAGTGTGAAGAACATGATATTTTATAAATAAAGGTAACACACAAAACGTTAAAAAAACGGCCCTTTGGGTGTAATATAAAAGCTGAAAGCTTTCAGATTTTTTTTTGGGGGGGGGATATTTCTTCGATGTCCCGAAGTCTGCGAAAAATTGTTAATTTTGTCTCTTTTTTTTTTTTTTTTTTTTTTTTTTTTTGATACAGGCTAAGTGCGCTTGCGTAACAGATTACAATTTCAATAAATGAATGAATGTTTATAAACGGTGTCTTGAGTTACGAACTCAGTAAGCAACATGTAATTTTTAAAACTGTTTTGATGTGACCAGTGCCCATAATTAATATATAGGGACCTTTCGAAATAACATTTTAGTTTTTTTCATTGTTTAATCCCTTAACAAAGCCTGGAAGCTGGCGACTAAGGTAATGAATTAGTTGTGGATGAAATTATGATCAGACTGGATTGAGATTTTGAGCATTTTGACGTTTAGGACGTGTTTTGTTATTTAGGATACTCTGTATCAAGACAATACCATAGGCTAAGGATTTAACAATTGAAGACGCGGAGAAGTTACTAGAGAACCATAAAAATGACAACCAGGAAAAATGTTCGACTTCAGAAGCGCCAAGAAAAAGCGATACTGGAAGACGTCTTCAGAAGAAGGAAAAAAAAATGTGATCCTATTATTCTAATCTACGAAATTTGTGCAAAATCTGGTAAAATGATATGCTCATTGATGATACTCTCGAATTATTTTTTCTCTCGCTCTCTCTCTATATATATATGTAATTTTTAATTCAAAGAAATAGAATGGTTTCTTGCTCTGCTATTGGATGTACAGAAAGTTGCCACAGGCACGTCGATTTTATAAATAAAGTAATTTATATTTTTCTTTTCATTCACATTATTTCTTATTGCTCTTTTGTGTTAGAATTCCCTAGACGTGGTCGTGTTTGTATTGAAAGTACTGTTTATGGTTTACGTTAGAAATAAGTTGATGCTGAATATAATGAATGTACTGTTACTGAAATGTTGTTTCTTGACTTTTTCATGGAAATTATACGCAAAATAATACCTTATAGCATTGGAGATTTGTGACTATTGATCCCACCAGCGACCGAGTGGTAAAAAGGCTGAGCACAGGTAGTTCGATCCGGGTTCGAATCTCGGCGAACTAGCTGGCTACATGGGCGTTTTCGTGGTTTTCCCCCCCGTGTAACGTGTAAACGAGCGAATTTTCATTCCAAAGTTCTCAACGAAAGCATCCCTTCCCTTAGGTGAGATGACCCTCATGTGCTTTGCCGTAATCAACTAAAGTATTCATTATGATTTTTTGAAGGATTCTTTTGAAAATTGAACTCTGAGCGATTTTATTTTAAATTACTTAAAATTAATATTATGCAAAATTATTTAAAACTAATATTTTTGTAAGTTTGTAAAATCATAATGTTTTTGTAATATGCTAATCACTAGTTGCTAGTCGTCTTAAAATGTACTGGTAAGATGATCACATATGATTTGGAGCTCAATAATTAGTCCTTTTTAATTCTTTTGCTCTTATTTCTTACGCTAGAATGAATTTCAAAAAATTTAATTTTTAATAATTTATTGAAATACTTTTCAAGATTATATAAAAAAGCTCTTTTCTTCTTATATTTTCTGCATAAGAAATTAGCTAAATGGTATTTGGGGAAGTCAGTATCATGTGATTTATGTTTATTAATACAAGTCCAACACATTATGAGGGCCTAAATGAAAGAAAATCTCTGAGGATCAGAAATATTTCTGGTGTAAAAAGTTAAATAAAACAAAAGATACATATTTTATAAATTAGTCCTGCTTAAAAGAGAAGAAAAAAATTTATGTTTATTAATCAAATTGTAAGGTTATTATAATTTTACATAATCAGTTATTTTATGATTTAGATCTTTATTGTCACTTCTGCCTTCCGTTTCCCTACCAGAATGCATATTTAATTTCAGAGTATTGAAGCTGATGTCATTCGGATTCTAATTCAGAGCTTATATCGGCCTCTTCAGGCCACGTTACTAGGTTTCGCTAGCTCAGATAATATTGTAGTCTTCGGTTTTGCATTATATTTGTTGACACTTAAATTGTTACGCAGGTGAGAAGTTTTAAGCCAACTTCTCGTTAAATCAATTTGTGTAATTCTTGGCTACAAGACCTAGTTTTAAATTGGAAACTCACTCACCACAAGTGGTTGGCTGACCGTATTAAGTACGAGACGTGCATTTATGTTCACAATTCTGACTTAATAAAAAAGATTTGTTAAACCTCCTCGAGACTATATAGTTCTGTCTAGATATAGCGATAACCGCTTAATGTCTGTTAGGAGTTTGATATTAGTTTATGCTACTAAAGAGCCTTTATAAAATATAATCACGCTTTCAATAATATTTCAGAAAGAATTTTAATAGCAAAAATAAGTAATGGAAGATCTATCATAGGAATGATTTGATTTTGTTAATATTTTAAATAATGTTTTAAATTTTTTTATTTCTTTTAATTTTTATCTTAATTATTTAATTAATTAATTTGGGTTATTTGATTCCTTTTTAATCAATCTGAAGGTGAAATATTTCG